GGAGGGAAGGAAGCATCACAAACCTAGTGGAGAAGACAGAAGCAGAATACAGCACAGTCAATGCAATTCCATGAATGTGACCGGAAGCTGGCAAGAACCGAACCCTATACTTCCCACAGGACCCATTGATTCGGTGTTTGCACTGACTTTACAGAGCAGAACTACTGCGAATAGCAAGGAGAATGGACTGTACCTAGGGAGTCATCAGCAGGTGCGCAGCGAGGAGATCTCAGATTGTGAGTAAATAGAGTCACCTGCAGCCAGGTTTGCACCTCTCTCCATAGCACGGGCTGGGTCTTTCCTATCTTATGAGGCGGTAGGGGTGTTTGGCTTCCCCAGTAGGTGGGTGGTCATGGGAGCTCACGACAAGAAGTCACTAATGGGTCTGATACTTGGTATGGAAACCACTCAGCAAGCTAATCAAGAGGCGCATATTTTAGGGCCACCCCCACATAGCTAATGGCAGGTAGGTATGTTGTCAACACTTCAATCGATCAAAGTCCTTGCCTTCTAGTTGGCTACTAGTAGTCTAGCTTCACCCAGCACACGACAAATGTATTTTAGACAAATAATCCTGAGGTTTTGTCCTCTTGTGCTGTTTTCTAAACATGGAGATATTGTCATGAGGTAGAGCATCACAGGGAGCAATAGAGGGGCTTTGGAGAGAGACAGACATCAAGAGCTACTCCCCAATGCCAGCACCGCCTCTGAGAGCAGGGGCCTTTGAGACCCAGCTTCCTCATCCATGGAAGGGAGACAATGATGACAGCAGTTGCTGGGACTGCTGCAAGATTTATATAAGGCCAAGTACATGCAGGGTCCAAACACAGACCCCAGCACGCTTGGCAGTTCTGATATGCTCTGGTGCAGGGGATGGGCATGAATCGGGCATTTGATGAACATGTGTCGAACAAATTGATAAAACCATGAGACTGATTCTTTCCACCCTATAGCAACTGTCAAAAGGCCTCACTAAGAATCGCCTCTTTTGCTGTTCTGAGGCATGGAGTTTAAGAATTCCACACCAATGGACAATCGATGTGTCACTCACACTGCTGTGGTTTGGGGGCAGTCGGTGTGGTTTGTGGTCTTCCAGCCCCAAGGTAATGAAAATGTCTGAGCGAATCCAGCAATAACAATCCAGAAAGTGTGAGACCCTCACATAGAGCCCGGCCAACGTGAGGGGGCTGATTTGCCATAGTTCCTATTTTAGAACAGCAAATACAAAAACATTTCAGAGCTCTTGGTTTAAATAATACCTTCCACTAGCCACTCTGATAGATGACATGGTTTTCTAGCAACCTGAGAGAATCTTAGAACAGTGTTTGTTATGGTT